GAAATCCTCTGCGACCTTGTTCACCACCTGGACGAAGGTCAGGCTACCGCTGGGAATTCACGTCGATGATACACCAATTCCGACGGTGAATAACCCCAAAATACTCGGAGTAACATTCGACAGCCTGCTATCCTTCTCTGCGCACGCAACCGCTATTGTCAACAAAGTACAGCGCCGAAACAAAGTCCTCAAGTCGCTAGCCGGCAGTACCTGGGGCAAGACAAAGAAGCGTTGCTGACAACATACAAGGCAATACTTTTAAACTACGCAGCACCAGTGTGGTCGCCGGGGACTAGTAGGACGCAGTGGATGAAGCTACAGACAGCACAAAACACAGCACTCAGGACAGCGACCGGATGCCTCCTGATGTCACCAGAACACCACCTCCATGATGAGGCGAAAATGCTCCCAATTAGGGAGCATAACACGATGCTCTGCAAGCAGTTTCTGGTTGGGAGCCACAGATGTGGCCACCCAAACAGACAGCTGCTGGCAGAGGAGCCCTCGCCAAGGCACGTCAGGAGGCATCTATATGAACTGACGGACGAAGTCCAGAGGTTCATTAAGCAGCCTCTGGACCCGTCAGCATACCGACAGGCCCTGAACGGCATTCACAGGGACTCAGGTTCGAGTTATGTAGACTCTAGACCTGTGAAATAAACAAAAGACATATAGCCAAAACTGGTCAAAATATCGCACTCCTATTATTTTTTGGACAACTGTATGTATTTGGAAATATTGTATAAAAAAAAGGATACTTGAATAGCTAACCGCAAGTGAACACATTTTAGTAGTGGCTTATTATACAAACGACAAACATTTCGGCATTAGGATACAGTTTACATATCTTAAAAACCATGGCATAAAAATACAAACGTCGGAATATTGAAGAAAATATTTTAAATCCTTTTTAGTAAGCGTATACTATACAGAAATGAACAATTTGTATAGCAAAAGATTGCTTACCTCTTGTTGTACGTCCATGGGCTCTCCGCCGTTGCCAGCTTGATGCTGTTGATCACCGGCATTACCCTTATCTTCATTGCCCGGACCAGTACCTTGCTCGCCAGCATTTGCTGCAGCATTGGAGGCTTCATCTTCCTTCTTGTCGACAAGTGAAGCACTTGAAATCAATACGATTCCATGGTGATTGATGCGAACCTTCACTTTAACTTCTTGGTGCTCGCCACGTTCATTCGGTTTTACATCCCTTATGAACCATTTGCCGATAACTGGATCTGGGAACGGTATCGGTTGTGCATATTGCACAGTCATTGCGAATGGTTCTTTTCTATTCAGTGTAAGCAAGCGACTAAACGGAGCAGAGTGAAAGGCGGGGAATACTTCGATTTCACCGCCAGCTTGGGAACCCTCACCATCCCAACTAACTTTGACGGCATAATTTTGAATATCGGTTACGCCGAATTCGCGTACACGAACAGCTGGTGACATGATTGCACATTGCAGTGCTGCACCGCGAGACACTGACTCATCTTGATTCAAAGTTGTACTAGCAGGCTTACCGAATACCTATGGATCACAAGATTAGCAGCTTAATATTTCTGTTTACATACATTTTTAACTTTTCTACTCAATCACTTTACCTGCTCAATCAACTGTTTAATTGCAGGTATACGTGTAGTACCTCCGACAACTTCTACAGAGTGTATGTCATCCAGTGACAATTTTGAATCGTGTAATAATTTAATGAATGTCATCTCTACTCGTTGGAATAAATGCGCGCACAATTCTTCCATTTGTGAGCGTTGCATAGACGAAGAAACATCAACATCGTTCATAAAGCATTCTATATTGATAGGCAGCTTAGTACTGTTCGCTGACATTTGCTTCTTCAATTTCTCAATTTCAGTTAGCAAACGTAGATAAGCACGAGCGTTCGACTTGGCGTTCAGCTTGTAGCGGTCATAAAATTCTTTAGCAAAGTGTTCCCCCAAAACACTGTCAAAGTCACGTCCTCCAATTTGGTCCCAAGCACTAGCAATCATCTTCAATTTACCTTTCGTAAAGGCGCATACACTAACTTGCAATGACGACTGACCGCAGTCAACGAAAACGACGTTCCGCGGTTTGCTCTCATCTGGTAAGTCCTGCTTATAGAAACCGTATGACAGCGCGGTTGCCGTAGTTTCATTCATTAGACGCAGCACATTCAGACCTGCAATTTGAGCGGCGTCCAATAATGCTTTGCGCTCTGAATTAGTGAAGTACGCCGGACAAGCAATTACACAGTCATTAACCTAAAAATATTTACATTTAGAAATGCACTAAATATTTTTAACACCCCAAAATGTAGCAAACCTGTGCTTGCAAAGCAGCTGTCGAAGTTTCCTTCAGCTTCGTGAAGAGCATTGCTGTCAGTTGCTCTGGAGAAAAGTATTGCTCCTGATCTAAATAATTCACTTTAAATCCAATGCTGCCGTCTGGGCGTTGATCGACTTTCGTTGGAATGCTGCTAAGTTCACGCTGTACGTGTGGATCGTTAAATTTTCGTCCCAATAAACGCTTGAAACCGCTCACTGTATTTTTCATATTTGTGACCTGTTGATTTTTGGCAGCCACACCAATGATGCGCTTTCTTCCATCAAAAGCTACAAAGGAACTAAAAAAATAACAATTAAACTATTATACTTAGCTCAGACTCTAGACAAAAGTATAGGTAATTGTGGATGAATGCATAAGTTCACTTAATTGCAATTCCTCCTATTTTATCTCTACATTTTATCTTATTTTACTTTGTGAGGGCCCCGGATCCTGTGGCCCTGGGCCCCACAACAACTTTTATATACACATTCGTTGTTACTTTCTTCTTGTATAAATGAAGAGAAACGTCTTCGCAGCTCTTCGACTGTTCCTGTCTGTTCGAGGCCGAACTCTGCCATATAGGTCAGCAGCTCCTCTCGGTTGAGGTAATGTATCCACTTTCTCTTCACCATTGTTTTTTTCCACACTTCTTTTTTTTTCACTGGACCGCCTACTAGTAGTTCTTCGGGTGGTCACTGCACTTTGTGTCTCTCTCACTTGTGCCCTTATTGCTTCGTAAGTTTGGGTCTTTCAGGTGGTCACTGAACTCTGTGTCTCTATCACTTGTGTTCTCTTTTTTTTCACTTCACTTGTTTTTCCACGGCACTCTCCTTATGTTTGTTTCCTTTAGAGTCCCTGCTCGGCGCCATTTGTAACGGACTTTCCTGAGTGCTGGGCGTAGCTCTCGGTTGTCCAGGGTCCTGTAAGGAGTAAACACCCTATCTCCTCAAGAAATTAGAACACACTCGCTTCTAGTTTACAGCCTCTTTATTCGCTATACTCTCGCTATATCTACTCTCTAAAGTATAGAACTAGAGTAGGTTTAAACCCTACAGCTAGCACCAGTCTCAGTATTTAAAGCCCACTTCGAATATACAATAATAGTCTCGGAGGTTGATCCCTCTTCTACTACCCGTGTGACCCACGTTGCGACTCGTGCCACGTATGCCTAGCTCATGAACAATGCTTGTTAGCACTGCTCCTTTTATACCATTTTTGTCCATCCGCAGACAGTTATCCTCATTACAATTGTTTGTGCTTTATACATTTTATGTAGGTAGTTGTAGGTATTTCTTATACTGTGCATACAAAGTAATAATTCAAAATATATTAGTGGATACATACATACGTACTAGTATAATCCAAATAGATGCAATTCAATAAGCTTATGTACATACATACGCATATATATAATAATTCAAAACATAAGTGTACATATATATATATTTGTACATGTGTGTATACAATTTCAAATCAACAATTCAGGGTAAATAGTACAAAGGATATATGTGTA